AAGAAGGAGGTTGCAACAGCAATTATAGGAGCAATGGTATACCACACTTGGCAAGCGAGGAACTGGAGAATTTTCAGACAAATTAGCTTGAATCTGGAATTTTGTATTGGGCAAATTAAAAAGGAGATGGTGGACAGATTAGGCATGTATGCAGAGTCCACAAGAGCAAAGCAGTGTCCATTGATGATACAGAGATTATGTAATTAGGAAGTAGCATGTAGTTAGGAATCCTGTAGTTTTTTAATTCAAAAGTCATGAAAGTTTGTACTTAGAAAGGTGTTTTGATGTTTGAGGTCCTGTTGTACTAGAAGAGCTAGTACAATGGATGCTCTTAGGATGTAAAGCATTTGATTGTTATGGTAATATTCACATTTATTACCAAAAAAAAAACTTTCAATTAGAAAATAATGGCTGATCAGCAGGCTCAAGCCGCAGCACTGAGAAATTTGGAGCACCACGTGGGCCTGCTTGCCAGAGCCAAAAATACCAGACCAGCAGAGGCTCTTCCTAGTGATACTGAGCCCAATCCTAAAGCTCAAGTCAATGCGGTTACCTTGAGAAATGGAAGAGCATTAGAAGAAGTTCCAAAGAAAAAGAAGAATACATCTCATCCTAAAGGAGAATTAGTTCCCAAGCCTTGGGGGATATATTCCAGAACCTCGGGTACTTGAGGGGAATAATTTCCTTAAGGACACTCTGTTTATTCAGTAGGCTCAATTTGTTTCTATACCGTTTTCGAAATTTATTTTGAAGTTCAAATACTGTTTTCAGAATTTATTTCTACTAACATTCTGTTTCTATTTTCAGAAAGATTATTGTTTTTGTTTATTTACAGCAATTCAGATATATAACAGTTATCATCAAAGACTTTTCCCCTTAAACTTGACTACTTCCATAACTTGACACGCCAAACACGGAAAAAATAGACGTATGAATTGTGATATGAAAATGAATGGAAAGAAATAAAGAGGAAGAAGAAATGATAACGTTCTTCGTGATATAAGAATGACTTGATATGACATGGAACGAAAAGGAAAAACGAGGAAGAAGAATTGAATCCGTTCTTTGTGATAAGCTTGAACTTAGGTATGAGGAAAATAAATTGACTACATGTTAGCCCAAGAAGGTTTGTTTCGAAGATTGATAAAGGAAGCTCAGGCATGAACCAAGTTTATCCCTTGTGTGCATAGAAACGTGCAGATTCGATCATATGAGATGCACATGAAGGAGACAAGTTTAACTTGGTATATTTGATATCTTCTGATCGAAAATGTTGTAGAATTGATAAGGAGAAGGACTCCTTAATCAAAGAGAACACTATCCAAGATAGGGAGGAGTTAAAAGTTGAGATCAACTAGAACTCGTCCACCAAAGAAGAGTAGCATTAGAATTCTAGTTATTTTCTACTCTACTAACTCTATAAATCGCAGGATGTTCTCACTTTACAGGTAATGCACAGACGCAGAAGTTAAACGTGAATTGAGAGCAAAATAGCAAGGCTTTTAGCAAGCAGTTCGTGTGTGATTCAAGTGTGCAAACCTGCAGCTACATGAACCAGATAGAAGAACCAGTTCCAAATGTTTGTTTTTTTATTCTAGTTCAATTGTAGTAGGTGTTTCATATTGTACCTTTCAGCTTTATCTATAGGCAATTGTAATAGGTACTCATAGTATTCAAGTTAGAGTTAACTTGAAGTTATCGCAACAGTTAGAGGCTATTTGCCACAACGGGATTAGAGTTAATCCTAGGTTTACAAAAGTGTTTTGTAAATGCAGTTTTTGGCTCAGTGATTTAGAGAAGAGTTTGGAAAAATTCTACTGAGAAGTAGGTCGTGATTTTTTCACCTTTTGAGCCAGGTATTTTTCACGTAAAATACTTGTGTTCTTTACTTTCCGTATTTACTATTTCAGCAATAGTAGGTTAAGGTAGGTTAAGGAACACTTAGAAGAAGCAGGTCCTTCCATAATCAATTTAAGCGGAAAATTGGACACCACACAAATCAGTTTAAGCGAAAAAATTGGACACCACACAAATCACTCGTTTTCTGTGGTGTTGAAGTTAAAACAACACTACATTCTTGTCAAACTTAAAAATACAAATCAAATACTGTAACTTCTATCCCGAACAACCTGTGATAAATAGAGAGATAAGGAATGAATTAATGGCAAAATAGCCCTAAGACAAAGCAAGTATAGAGCTTTAATTTGTCACATCCTCCACGTACATTCCACAGCCACAAAAATCTGCTTTTTTATATCACCACTAGTTCCAGCAAGGAATGATACGGTCTAAATTCAGACGCCTCAATTATTGATTGAGTCATTAATTTCCCTAACGTGTTTTCCAACTATATAAATGAACAATGACTAGCCAACCGATTAATTGAAAGAGGAGACGTGTACCTAATTTGACCCAAGCTAGCTAGCTCATTAAACATCAATACGAATAATGCATATGGAAAATTAAGGCTCTAAGCTTGTCCCTATAAAGGCTGATAGGACATGATTTGTAGACATGCATAATTAATGCATATGAATAAGACGCCAAGGGGTAGTTTGGTAGCTGGTTGTGGGGTAAGTTATTCATGTATTAGGAGTAAACTAACTAATACCATATTTAGTAGCCTTTAGTTACTTTGTACAAATTAAGTCAGCATAACTAATGTAATGTTTGATTGCTTTTTTCATCGGGGGTATAAGTACTATGTACATGTATAAGTTATACAAAAAATCTATGTATTATTGATGCAAGATAAAATGTGGAATAACTAATATATGTATTAGCTAGTAATATACATGGATTAAACAATCAAATGACCAAAAAACGTTCATATTTATTTTAAATTACACATCATATAATTAAAATAAAGTAAATACTTAACAAATACTAATCCATGCATTACTAATTCTTACATAAATAATCCCTTTATAATAAACCATGTATAACTAATTCCTGCATAACTAATATCTGCATAATTCTAACCAGCAACCAAACGACTCTAAGTGTACAAATAAGGTACGTAGTTATTATTTTTATCAGAGTGGAGTAACTTATGAGAGTTTAATTAATTTTAAGTGTGCACGATTAAGAGTCCGACAAAGGGTATTGCCAAATGATCTCTAGAATATAAATGGTAGGATTCACAGATTCAATGCAAGGTCACTTGTATTCTTCCATTTTGATGGAAAGAATGATTGTACTGAAATTAAGTTCCCCATTGAGGAAAGTGGAAAAACATTTTTTCCCCAACAAAGTGGACAAAACACTGGAAAAGTCAAAATAGATTGGAGAATAGTTCATTTGGGTATTTATTAATGTTGTGTTGGCAATATTAATTCTCTTTTTCAACTCAATTATGCACCTTCACCTAAATATTAATGTCCATATATCCTTTTACACTAAAAGTCAAAATAATAAATGGACAATTTATTGGGCAAGTCACAATAGATAAGAGGATAGTTAATTTGGGTGTTTACTGTTGATAATAGGTGAATTTGACTATAATCACACCTTAAATAATCACCTTCTTGTGTAGTTTTAATGCTGAAAGTGATAACAAAATGCTCTTATTAATGCTTTTCATGATTTGCAAGTGATAAATATATAAGGAAGGCTAAGGAGCAGTTTTGGAGTCAAAATTGATGAAAAAGAGGCCAACTGTGAAATTTCCCAAGTAAACCACGCAAAACAGGCCGAAGATTCAGAGCACTGGTTTGACCGCGGTTCCACCGCGACCGCGGTAGAACCGCGGTGGAAGACAGCCGCGGATGATTTCAGAATCAGAGAAGGCTTTTGGCCGCGGTTTGACCGCGACCGCGGCAGAACCGCGGCGAAAGCAGAAAACTTCAGGGATCAAAGTGTAAAACGCGGGATTTTTAGACCTAAACCCTATATAAAACATTAGACTTCTCCCAAGAGAGGCATGTATTGATTTTTAAGGTTTCTTAGCAAGGAAAACCATTGTGAGAGAATACTCCAACCATCTTTCTTCTTTTCTTTTGATTTTTATGATGAATTCAATCTTAGTTTATTTTTCCATAGCCATGAGTAGCTAAGTTCCTTGTCTAAAGTTTTGATGGAACCTATTGGGTGATGAACTTCTTGTTTATGTGAATACAAATTGCTAGTTTAATCTCTATTTGTTCAACTTCGTGTTTGTTGTAGTTAATTGACAGGATCCTCAATTAGCTGTGCCTATTTAGTGTGCATAACTTGGAAAAGAGTGCATATTTAGGGTATTGTTGAACAACACCACTCCTAGATTATTAGAGGAATCTATAATTGCGGCTTTAAAGGCGGGATTAGGGATAACGAAGCCTTGGGTGTAATCTAAAGTGAATCGTGCTAAATAAAGTAAGCTAGTGTATCTCGGGAGAGTGCAATAGTAAATTACTGTGATTACTCGGGAGAGATTTACGGTAAGATTAGCGTTCATGATTGATAGAGATGTGTTGGTAAATTTGTATGAGCATAAACAGAAGGGATTCCATCAATAGGGGAAATCATTGCCTTAGCTTTTCCCCATAATTGTTTACAACCTTATTAGTTTAGTTTACAGCTATTTAGTTACTTGCAAGCTAGTTGTTAAAGAACACTCAACTGAGATTTGAATATTTGGGAAGCTGGTTCTGAAGAATTAGTGGGTCTGAAGATAGTGGTTGATAGGTTAACTCTCTGTGGATTCGACCCTGGGCGTAATACTCGGGTTATATTTGCAACGTCTGCAGAATCCTTTTTATAAGGCATAGTTGGGCGTGATCAACTGTGGTTGGATCACTCACGTAATTCCCTCTATTTTAATTTCATTAAGTACATTAAGTGGCTTGTGAAGTCGTTGAAAGGTCGTTATATGAGATTGGTCACGTGGTGTCTTGTCCACATATATGGTCGTGAACTATATACTATGAAATAACTCGAATCGATGCAATCAAATTAAAGTGTAAAAAAGTCAAAAATATTCCAATCTAATATCATAAGCATAGAGGCTAGCAGAAACTCACAGCATTAGATATGGCTTTTTTGACTGTTTTCATGTCATCAATCTTGAACTTGGCCGTCGCCAGTTTCCGCGGCCATAGCTCAACACCAGCTCCGCCGCTTATGACTGTCTTCTTATCCTTCAACCATAAACTCCTCAAACCAAATTCAATGACATACACCAACGTATACCATATCATCTTCATCAATTTCTTTAAGCTCAATCTCTTATGATTGCTCGACGAAGTAGAAGTCCCTATACCTGTTAAAGACATAATTAAATAAATAAATATGCATTATGTCAAAAGATTAATTTTTTAGATAAGATGACCATACAATATTCAAGATGGTATTAGAACATACAGAGTTCTCAATTTTGAATCTTACTTCCCATTATAAAATAAAAAAATCATACGCTTGACCCAAAAGAGAAAGAATCAGATTCGCGAGTATGAGCAGTATCGAGGACATAATTAAGTACAATTAGTTTATTTTGCTACGGGTTAACCTTTTAATTGAGATAGTAACACGATACCTTGGCTAGTCGGGCGTAGATTAGGATCATCAGCTCTGCGGCAACAAGACAAGAACATGGACATAAGTGAAATCCCATCTCCAAGAGCATGATGAAGTCTCAAAACGGCACATTTATGGGCTAGGAGAAGGTGAAATTCCCACAAGGGCTTGGTTAAACTTAACGGCGTCGAAACAGAGAGATCTGCTAAGTATTCGTTAATGGCATCTTCATCGGAAATTGAAGGATCATCGGTGAGAGGTTCACGGCGAATAATGAAGTGGTCATCAACGTTGACTTCAGTTTTACGCCAGCGTTCACGACCACTTGAGTCTTTGACCATGATGCTGGAGAATCTCGGATGTTTTACCAATATGGAGTTGCTTATCTCCAATTTGACAGCGTCAATGTCGAATGGATCGTCGACGGAAATGGCACAGTTGATAACTTGGTCCATTTCCGGCTGAACGAATAACCGGCCGGCCGGCGTCAAAGGCTCGTCTCTCTCGATCGTCATGGTCATAGGGAAATAGATACAACTGCCAAAGTTCAGGAGGAAGTTTCTTTAAATAGGAATATCCATCCCTTCTTCTTATGAGAGTTTTAATTATGGAAAGGCACTGACACCAACTCAAAAATTCTATTGGTGTAAACCCTACTAATACAAATTTTCGAGGCACCTTTTTTTTTTTTTTTTTAAATTTTATTTTTGCAAAGTCTGAGAAAGTTCTTGATTGGAAAATATAGTATAGGATTTCATTCTCCGCGCTCGAAAATAAAATTTCTGGTTAAATATAAAAGAAACTTTATCAAAATCCACCACACTCTTTATTAGTGCACTAGCAGAAATAAATTAACTATGTCACTTGCATAAGTAAACATAAATTATAACTAAATAATAAAAATCTGTATGCAAAACACACCTATTTTATATTAGTTGTTTTAGTATGTAAATTGAGTGTGAACATGTCTGTTTGGAAGTGTGGTAAGTGGGTTTTGAAAAATAATTGGATCCCATAATAGGTTGTCAACTTTATGACATGTGCTTGTGACTCGCCAACTCTGAAATTTTAACCATTATTATTATTATTATTATTATTATTATTATTCAGCCAAATATGACGTTCTACTTTAATATTACATGGTATTCCAGAGATATATCCACTTTCACAAATTGAGAAGCTATTTCCAGAGTCATTAGACTTTGTGCTTATTATTCTAAAGTATATCAAGATAAGATTTCAAAAAATTGATTTTATCTTCTAAGCCAGTTTGATTGTATTTAATTCAAATTTAATGAAACCATCTAAAAATCACAAAGGGTCGAATACTATCTAAATATTACTATGAGCTATGTATTTTTTTTTTCCTGGCTTGGAGATATGTATATTGCAGTGGCGCTTTATTGGCCATAATATTTGGTGTACTAACATTCATTAGTTTCCTTTTGGTGGGGGAACCAATATCCTCCATTAGTTTTTTTTTTTTTTTTTGGTCATATCCTCCATTAGTTTTCACAAAAGCGCCTTGTATGACCGAAGTTATGTCCTACAAATTTTTTGTTTTCTTCGTTCAGAGGATCTTTCTTTTGGTTTGAAAAAAACAAATTGTTGGGTCCACTTGGTTATTTCTGTATTGGACAAACTTTGGCGACTTGGCAACAGTGGATGAGCCAGACCGCGGACGGGGTCGACGACGGTGTGATAATTGAAGGCTGCTCTCGAGCAGACTGATGCCAAAGACGGGCAGCTGAGTGAAGGAATAACGGTAGCATAGGTTCAGATATGGATACAAGGAATATTTATTTGAATATTCCTTAGTTTGTACTTTTTTAGGGTTTTTAGGAAATATCCCTTATAAATAGGAAGAGATAGAGAACAAAAAGGGGGATCTTCACTTTATGAGAAGAAAAACACTCTGTAAAAGTTGACTTGAGAGAATATACTAAAGTTGCCTTTTTCGTGATTACATTATTCAAGCATACATTTTTTATTCTATATTCACAAGATCCAAAGATCCCTAAACCCTCTTTTTTATTCCCTTCTTTCCACGCTGTTGTAGGGGAAAGAACCATCCGAATCTTACAATAATTGGGTAGTAAATTCCCTTTTGTTATGCTTGTCGCATTTATCTATATTTATTGCACATTTATGTTGTGGCATTCATGAGCATTTAATCAGCTCAAACATACTAGCTAACATCGGTCATTTTACCTACACTCAATATTTGGTCTAGATTTTATTATTTTTAACTAAGATTCATCCTTCTTCTCATCATTAATTGATTTAACTAGAAGGGTTAATACTTTTTGGTCAAACAATTTCTTTTCATGACGGATGTATTTTTTTCTTTATTTCGGGGAACTATTGTTGACCTTGTATTTTGTTGAATGATATTTGTAAATTGGAGATTTGTCAAGTCATGTTATCAACTGCTTCTATGTGCGCGCGCGTTGCTCATTTATGAATTAAGCCGCCTACTGAGAAAAATGAGTGCTAATGATACTGTTTGGTGGCATTTTTTTTTAAAAATAAATTATTTTGCATATTGTTTATTTTGACTGGAGGAAATAGAATGCTTCAACCGTTGACTGAATTAAATAAATCACATATATGAATGATCTGCATCTCTATCCAAGACCTATTAATCACCAGCGAAGACCAGCAACAGACCTAAGTGCTTATTGGCTTTTAAGTATTTTTATATTTTTTGTGGTGTTTGACAATGATAAAAAATGCCTAAAAATATTTACTTTTAGACATAAAAAGTACAAAAATAAGCCATAAGCCAAAAGTTAGGAGGATGTTTGGATTGACTTTTAAGCTGGTCAGATCAACTTTTACACTCTTTTTAGTTTTTTTCAATGTTTGGCAAAAGTCAAAAAGTGCTTATAATAAGTTAAAAACTGCTTAAAACAAGTCAAAAACAATAAATTGGACAACCCCAACTTATTGCTTTTTGGCTTAAAAGTTATTTCAGCTGAAAATCCACTTTTTTTAAGCCCATTCCAACTTATGACTTTTAGCTTTTAACTTATAAACTACTTTTTCAAAGCCAATTCAAACACCCTCTTAACTTATTCCGTAAACCAATTACTAAAATTTGATCCCATCTAGCAGTTGAGAAAATGTACCAAAGGAAACAGAACGGATAGAGATTAATTGAGATCACTTTAAGATTGTTTGCGAATATTCAGACATACTATTGTTTGACCAAAAAATATAAACTTTCGGTTAAACTATTAAATTTTATGTAATAAGGTGTTAAACTTAATTAATAATAATATCTCTAGATATAAAACTTGACAGCATGAATAACATAAGGTAAAGTCAGTGGGAGATTGAAAGTAATGCACATTTAATATTCCAAAAGATGTGAGCAATAATGGAGGAGTAACTAGTAATAAATAACAATAAATGACATTTATGTAAATAAGGAGAATGATTCACCCAATAATGAACGAGATAGATGATTATTCTTCCTGACAATGATAGATGACAGACGAATCCTAGAATGTTGGAACTATTCTCGGATCTGATAGAAAAGTGTGGAATAATGTGTATGAGAATATTGATGAAAAGGTAAAATTTGTGTCTTTGCTAGGGAGGGAGAGAATCTTCTTTTCAAGAAGTATTTTTGTCAAGATATTACATGCCTTACACCATTGTCTCTTTTTCAATTTATATGAGACATGTCCCTAACAAACCCTAATAGTACAAGTGCAAAGAATATTCAATAGAATATTCTCTTTAACATCCTATTACAAAAACTAGCCGTTCTTGTTCTATCCTTGGTGCTCGATCTCGGTTGTTATTGAGAGCCCGACCGCAAATCTCATTGCTTCCTGGTCGAACTCGACTGGCCCTTTCCTTAATGCTGCTTTATTCTAAATTTTCTTAGGACAGATTTTGGCCTATACAGTTAGTTCCTCTGCTTATTGAGGCCGACCCCGGACGGCCTTGATGAGCGGACCCTGTTTGTCGTGGTCTGGAAATTTGGACGAGCAAGTCGGGTAGTGGCGTTTCGGACGAGGTGATAATGTGACCTTTCGTGAGCCGCAACCTTTGGGGTCACATCGATTCAGAGTGACTTCATGACATCGTGCGTCATTATGGCACGTTTTCCCAATGCCTTACGTTGTTTTCCGTGCCTATGCCATTTCGATACCTGCGCTGGGTAATGACAGTTTGATTTCTCGATCCTGATGGTTGAACTCTTATAAATAGGGATATGAAACCATTTGTTTATGTTTAGCACTCCTATTATCAAACCTCTGTGTCTTCTTCTCCATTCTTCATATAAAGTTCTTGTCTTCTCTTTGCTTCACTATTGTGTATCTGCTTTTGTCACGCGCCAAACCTGGGGAGGCGTGGCTGGCATCCGGTGCTGTGCTGGCCCGAGCAAACCATTCTGTAACTCATGATCATTCGACCAAAACTAGAACATACATAGGTCGAGTTGGCTGAACTCATTCCTTTTGTAACTATCATGGGCCAACATGCCACAACTCATAATGTACAACTGTAAGTGGGCAAACACTGTATCAATGAACCATCACATTTAACACATAAATATACACGGGCCGTCAAGGCCTCTGACATACTATACAAAATGAACTTGTGTCTACAAAGCCTTTAAGATTATTTGACATCAAATGGAACAGGGTACCGGCCTACCAATAAGTCTGTAGCAAAACTCTAACACGATGACTTATAGACTCGGCTGCACTTCGAATGAGGTGGAGTCTTACTGATCCTTCGTTGAATGCCAACCTTGTATACTATGAGGGCTCGTCAAACTGAACCTGCAGGCATGAATGCAACGTCCCAACAAAAGGACGTCAGTACGAATAATGTACCGAGTATGTAAGGCGGAACTGAAACATAACAATGAGTCATCATTTACTAAAGACATATAAGAATCAACCTGAATCTCTGAAGTGCCACCATATATGCATACTTATTATACATACATACATACATATATATATATATATATATATATATATAATGCTTCTTCTTGAGACTATTATCCATATCTTATGATGCATGACTGCCTAACTGATTAGTGGTAACTGCCCGACCGGCCGTAGCTCAGTGGTAAATACATAACTGCCCAAACGGTGGCAAATAATGATATATAACTTCCCAACCGGTGGTAACTGACCGACCAGCTGTAGCACGATGGTAAATGAAGATGCATGTCTGCCCAACCGGCCATAGCACGATGGTAAATGAATATGCATGACTGCCCAACCGACCCTAGCACGATGGTAAATGCATGAAGATGTATCACTATATTATAAACATTAACATATTTATCATATACCTCAATAGAGACTTAGGAACATACTTAGACATGCTTGAATATCATTTTACAAGAATGAATAACATAGACATCCTTAACTGCTAAGAGTAGAGCCACTTATGGAATAACATTATGCTTACGTATCATTACTTGGATCATGCCAAAAGAAGGAAGAATTAGCCTTAACATACCCGAGCCGATTCTCTTGACATTCCCTCTAACACACGCCTTTCGCGAAAAATACGTAACGACGGATCAAAGTAGGTGAAAATCCGTATGATATTCTTGAGAAAGATTGTACCGTGCTCTCTTAGAATTGCATCTCACACTACTATAGTATTATGCAGTTTCACATAAACTCTTATTTG